TGCTAAATGGAGATGAGCACATTCAGTCTATATAATAGATGTACTAAACAGGCAGTTTGTTTCCAATGGCCTCTTTGAACAGCCACATCGCCATCTAGTGACACTGAAAGGAAACACAAGCTTGAAATCTAGCAGTTGAGGTTAACATCAGCAGCTGCTCTGGTACAGCATAGTGCTGACCTTGTGTATGTCATTGGGGATATAAACATCCATTCAGTTATTCTACCCACATGAAAGGTGTACGAACAAATGCACAGATCACACACACACACACACACACACACACACACAGATTCTACATATCCACGTAAAAGACAGCTAGTGTACAAAGAAAAGGATGCAGCTCCTGTCCATAAAATCATACTTATACAAAGGCAAATACTCAAGTGTTACTTGCAGACTCATACAGCATATTGACTAATGCTTTGCACATGAAGGCAGACATATAAGCAAAAAAGAGCATGCACAAAAAACAATGCTTTAAATACCTTTGCTGCCTAATGGATGACAGTCAGGCTCACATATACAGTCTGTTAAACTGTAAGTAACCCTGGGTGTTCTTTAAAAGGTGTTGGTTTATATTATATCTTTGTTTAAAAAAATTGGAAATGGTGTGGTTAAAATGGTCTTTTTTCCCCCCAAATTCTCCTTATTTATTGTTCTTGGGTAATGTTGGTTCATAATTGTCCTGCCAATTTGTCCAAGAATTTTTTATTTTTTATAGCAATCTCAAGACACCATCCTGGTGACATAAAAGTCAAATATAACAATAATATGTAAATAAAGTGCACAATAATAAAGCCAACATTGTTATACTGACAAGACAGTCATTCTGTCTTTAGTGATTTGCATGTCTCAAACAAATATCTAAATCTTCATACTGCCCTGGAGGCCTGAATACACTGTTTCCTGTGTAATTGTAGTCAAAGCAAATGCAAAAGACAGACACATGTATGCACACACACACACACACACACACACACACACACACACACACACAGAGACACACAAAGAAAATGAAGCAGTTTGAAATGCTTCCTTTTCAGCTGCATTGCATTTTAGTTGTGTAAATTTTTTAGCCTGGTTTAGTTAATTTTAATCTGCATCATCTAATAAGTCTCCAGGCACCACTCTGTCACACACCATTTCTGTTTACCACTCTCCTTGGACTGTGGTTAAAGTCTCATCTTTTGGAAATATAGTCTGCATGACAATACTGTAAAATCAAGGAAAATTTCAGATATAGTTCAGATATTCACATATTGATTTAGCCTTTGAATAATTCTGTGAGCAAGACACCAACCGTGTGATCATAGTGGGGATATTCTGGTGGCAGAGGTACAGTTAAACATTTTAGACATAGCTTCCATGACTGAACAGCCACGAACAACCTTGAAGTAGTCTAATTTCACTTAAAAGACAAATTAAAGCTCGAAGCAGCATTGGGGGGGGCCCAATCAAACGTAAGGGTGTGACCCTTATCAAACGTGAAATTTAGTACATATATGAGGATATACAGTGAAGTTAGAACAACTTCCTTTTTCATGACTAATTATTGATTTTCGATGCCATGCCATGGACACACCCTTTGAAGAAAACTCACAGATAGCACAACTTTTCATTATCAATGCCTTTAGATTGCACAACGAAAATTTAATGAAGATGATACAAATTTTGAAGAAGTTTGTTAAAGTATGAAACAGTCATGGCGAATCATCAGTTTTCAACACCATACCAAAGACATGCCGTCTGATGAAACCTCACAGATAGCACAGCTTTTCATCATCAATGCCTGTGAAAATTTGAAGAAGATTGGATTTATCCTTTAGGAGGAGTTTGTTAAAGTACGGAATAAATCGCCAAAAATGGCCATTAAATCCAAAATGATTGACCTCCTGTTGGGTTTACGGCATTGCTCCAAGAGGCTTTTTTGTTGGTCATATCTGCCACTAAAATCTTGTACATTTCAGAGAAACGTGGCCCTGGGGCTGCTCTTTAGGGGGCGCTAGCAAGCCAGTTTTCCATCCCCATGCACAAAACAACCTAAATTTTCAAGAAACATGAATTCTGTGGCAGTTTTCGTGAGCTTGCGATCATGTTTAAGCTGCCAGAAATATGCTTCATTTGCATAACAAAAAATTCCTTCAGTTTCAATAGAGTCTTCGCATGTTTCATGCTCGGGCCCTAAAAAATTTTGGTCTCAGGTTCCCAAAAGGCAGTGCAGGCCATTGCGCTTTAGAGAGCAGTTTTCAGAGCAGTCTCAGATTTTAACTGATCCATTATTTTTTTTCACCTTGCTTTATTGCAGGGAGGCCAGGTGTAAGCAAAAGTCAACTGCCAATTCAGAACGTATGCAGCCAAGTCAACTGTTTTGGAGTTGGCCGCTTTAGTTTTCAGGTTCATGAAAGATCTCTATGAAATCTGGCTGTTTTCAAGAATTTTGGTAGGACTGTGTATATACCAACTTGTCTATTATGTAAACACAGTGCCTCATTAAAGGCATTTGCATCTGGAGTGTGGCCAATAGTGTCATCTGTGTGACCCAGTTTTGTTGGGCCTCAGTGTTTGGTCAGTGGATGTATTTTGAATCAAAGCCACTAATTTGGATCACTAGATCAGAGTAGACTGAATAATAAAATAGTAGAGTTGTGGATTTAGAATTTAGTCATTCAAGACCAATTCTTTTAAGGGAAAGAGGTGACCTTTGCCTGTAAGGTAAATCTATTGTCTGTTAATATGCTACTAAATGATTTTGACAAGCACTTGTTGGGGAAAATGAAATTTCTCTATGGTTTATGTTCATTGATTCTTGTACTGCATACAAAAGACAGGATTAGGGTTTTGTCATAAATCCCTGTGTGATTAGGTTTTGGTTTAGACACAGCATTAACCAAGACCATGACTTTTCCCTAACAGTAACCAATTATTTTGCCAACTGAGTTGCTGAAACATATCCATAAACATGTTAATCATGCTTTCGTTGCAACGATTGAAAATTGTAGGGAAAATAAGTGAAATACATTGTCACTGAATATTTTGCACATACGCTCAAGTAAGAACAATTTGTGACTTCCAGATACATTAATTAAAATGTCCGGGTTGTATTGTGTTTCTTTCAAAGCACATTTGCAAAGCAAGCAAATTAATAGTGTAATTGTAGTAATTGTTAGTGTAATAACTAAAGAAAACATGTGGTTTGTCTGCAGTGACCTTTAAGGGTTAATGGCTTTTTTGTTATATAAAAAGACAGTATATAACATCTAGACATGACTTTTCCATGTTTAAAGAAATTTGTTTATATTGTGATATTTAAACAAAAACATTCAAGCAGGCTTTCTTTCTTTATTGTTATTATCAAGATGGAATGTAAAAACAAGAACCAAGACAAATAAATTGGCTTCTGGTATGATTTGTTGCAGACACACATAGTTCTTTGTCAGATTAGCTGAAGACGGGATTCTACCCTAAATGTCTGTGGTCAAAATAAAACATATTGATTGAACCTTTAACCGGCAAGAGTTTCACTCAACCTCAAAAAATGCTTCTGAAAGGAGTCTTTTTTTTTTTTTCTCCTTCTGATAGTTTGTGATTGGAGATTGAGGTCTCAGATGGAAAAACTGATTTGGTCCTTCCAACGAAGGGATTAATACATCTTCAAAATTAATTTCAGCAGTGGAGTTAAAATCAATAATTAAGTATTTCTGAAGATCCTTGTGAATTATAATTGCTTAGCTCAAAAACGTGCCTATGGAGCTGTGTAGATGATCTAGTCACTGAGAGCTAGAAAGTTTGTGAAACTGGGGGGCGGCAGGCTGACCTGGAAAAAAGAGGCAAAGTAATATTTTATGTTATACTGAACATAAATAAAGTGACCAACATCAAGGGTATTTTGTTTATATGTAGACAAACTTAAGCTCTGATTCACACTGAATTACTTATATGTGTTAGCTTATATGTGGTGGAGTATTGTTCTTAGAACAACAGAGCATGAGTGGCTTTCACACCATGACATGTGGACACCAATACAGGCCCACGGACACAGGCACCCACTGTATCAGTGGATTTATACTATGCTTCTGCCCCATTGACAAGATGAGTATTTTGTGTAGTGCATGAAGCTTTGACAGTTATTTTTTTCTGTCATCTTGTCATCCACAAAGATGTGCTATTAGAAACAGTGAAAATATTAACAAACATACGTTTCATACATGTTGTGGTTGGACACAAATTCTGTCCCATTCGGGGCGTTTTCTGAAACAACTGATGATGCCATTTTTCTTGGGTGGAAAATCTCTATGGAAGAGGTTTGGGTTGAAATTTAGTTTGGCAGATCAGAAAATGCACATATGAGTAATTGTTTGGAACACTAATATAATGTAGGTCGTTTTTGTAGTCATCAATAATTGACATATTTTAACATGAAGAGGTTGGAATTGGATGCTACTGCCTATGTTATCACCTTTTACAGCTGCTATTAAAAAACTAGTCCTATTCCATCTTTGAAAATGGCAACAGGATGCAACAATACTACTGTGACAAGTAGTATGTGACATAATAATTTACAATTCATACACCACAATATCAAAGAAGAAAAGCTAATTTCATTTTGAAGTTTATTACAGTACCACAATATTCCATTTTCAGGACATGTCATTTCATTTAGCCCTATAGCTAATGTTTAGAGTGTATATTAAGTTTGTCACTGTTTAAAACTATACAGCGCGTAATAGTAAGAGGTGGAATGCAGATAGATAATACTGATCCTTAATTAATTGTTTGCTGATGTGTTGGTAATGCCTCGGGGCTCCTGTAGGGGGATCGCGCTTCTCTTCCTCGTTCAATACAGAGGGGTGAAGGCGAGCTGCGTGTGTGTTTCTTCATCCTTCTCCCTTTACTTTCCCCTTGTTTAATTACCATGCACAAATCACTGTAAACTTGAACATGTGTTGATAGTACATTTTGTTAAATTACTGTGGTTTTATATGAGCGATAGAGACGTGTATGTTTAAAGAGTTTCTTGCTGATGTGCAGCTGCAGACCTCATGGCCAAATCAGTGTTTAAGCTAGTTACTGTTATGTCCACATGTTTGTGCTGTAAGGTTTAAGTGTATATTTATCACTTTAAGGGCCTAGTTCATGTCAGGGCAAAGACGATGAATAACTGTATATATTTAAAGTAAATTTCATTTTAAGCACGATGTGGAACCTTAGTTTAAAAAAGATTATTAAAATGTCATGTGATAACTTTAGTTAAAAACATAATTTAGGACATGTTAATAAGATGTGACTGTGTGCATGAATATTGAATAGATGTAGTTTTTTTGTATACATTGTTTAAAAAGTAATTCAATACAGATGAGTGAAGGTGAGAGCTGCATGTATGCTTCTTCATCCTTCTCCCATTACGTTTTCCCTTGTTTGAGGGAACAACCCAACAATTGACAATGTGCAGTCTAACAACATCACAGTTCTACAGTGGATTTGAAGTCTTCTGTCAGATTCTGAGATATGGATGCCACTCTACACTTTACAACCTAATTAGAGGATTGTCTACTTCTTCTACCACTTCACCTGATTGTGTGTTTTGTGATTTCACGGAGGAAATATTATTGCCCAGAACATCACAAAGCATTAAACCAACAGAAAACAACCACAGAAGAAAATGTTCCACTCAACTGGCCAACCACTGCATATACTTCCTTTTATGGAAAAGTGGTCATGATCGCAAGTCATGATATCTGTGAGAAGATTCTTTTCACTGTCTTTTACCTCTCTGCCATCGTCACACATGGACCGGCTGCACATTTTCACGGTCTTTCTCTTAGGTAAATATTTCGATCAAAAGAGAATGATGTAATTACAATTGTTATGTTCCATTTTAAGAATAATTCATACCAAAACTCTCGTTGTTGCGTTGAGCAGGAACCTGCACCTGCTGTTATGTGAAATCCTGTAACACTGAGCACGTTTCAATCTGCTTTCACAATTGTGTTTGTATTCCAGGAGTTGTTTCTTACATGATTTCTGGATCGTTATTGGAGGTGACAGTCAGACCAGGAGACAACATCACTCTCTACTGTGACTGCAAATTATCAAGTGGAGTATTCATAGTGTGGTACAGAAACTGCTCTCATGAGAACCAGCCTTCTCTTGTCCTAAAAATAAAATTTGAATCAAGACAAACCAGTGATGCTACAGGCTATCTAAATCTCCCTCCTCCTTTCCACTATGTGAGGAACAAATCCTCTGAATCCTATGACCTGCTGATCATGAACATCACTGATGTGGACGAGGGCCTCTATTACTGTGGAACTGAACAAGCCAAGGTGGAGGATAAAGAATACATTACTCAAAGAAATGTTTACAGCTTTGGCAATGTCACAACAAAGATCATATTCAGTAAGTATTTTGGTTTGAATTTTCTTTGAGTCTAAAACATCTATGTGTGATTGTGGTTTCAGTGAATGTAGTCATTTGACCAAATGATCATCATTTATATTGATAAGCAAAAAGGTGTTCCATCATAAGGTCTACTACAACAGCACACATATAACAACTCATATTATATGTGAAAATTAAGTGCATCTACAACACCTAATCTGGAGTGAAAGCGATATATAATAGTTATTCCAAATAAGTTGTGCCACATCTGGGACCTTCTGCATCTGAAGTGTTGTAAGTCATCCATTTATATATTTTCCTTAGTTTTTGGATTATTTTACAATTGAAATCTGAGAGAACAGATTCAAGCATTGTGAAAGGTTGCACATTGCACTTATTGCTGGAATGAGCTAGAAATCTAATAAACTAGAGACATTATTCAAACAAGAATGGATATTTCAAGAAGGTAGGGACAACATTCTGAAGACCACTGATCAGTGATCTTGGCAAAACAATTTATTGTGCAGTATAAGTTTGTTTCTGCTCAATGAAAACTTATTCTCCACACACTGCTTTCAATTTAATTTAAATCCAACAGAGTATTTATTTTTTTTTTGGTTCCTGGGGTCACGAAATAACTACTACACTTACGTCCACATACACGCAAAACTTTTCATTTAGACATTTTTGTGAGATCAGGGTTAAATGAATCGATACCACTTTGTTTTTGAAACTTTTCAGACTCCAGCAACCCTGATCACCATGAGACCACTGGTCCAGACTGTGGTGTCTGCTGGAGTCTGCTGTTCTCTCTGTGTCCAGCGTTAGCTGTTCTCTCCTCTCTCCTCTCCTCTCTTGTGGTTTATCACATCTGTAAGAAAAAAGGTAACGCATATCCCACTTTATAAGCTAAATGTGTTATTCTCAGAATATTCTTAATAATTCATCCACAAAATAAACTGAACTTACTAAGAAACCTGGATTCAGTTTGGTTTGAATGTACCATGCTGTAGTGATGCTGTTTTTATTTCGGCAGCTAAAGAACCTCAAGTAGATCAGCAAAGACCTGACACACGAGATCAAACAAGACTGGATCAGGTACCTATAGCTGTAGAATATAATGAATGATGGCATTAAATCAGTAAATGATGATGATTCTAAACCAAAAATATCAAATCTTAGGATGAAGACGTGTGTTATGCTGCACTGGAAATTCTTCAGGCATCACAGAGACCAAAGAAGAAGAAAACTCAGAGTGCTGACTTCAGCACCTATTCTGGCATCCGTACTTCCAGGCTGTAGAGGACCTAAACAAATGAACAACACAATACATTGTATAATGATTATTAATAATGCATCATTTAATCCATTTGTAGGGCTACATATAGACCATTCTGTCACTGATATTCCCCATTTAAAGCTTTGTTTGTTTGTTTGTTCGTTAGGGTGAAAAGCAATGCTGTTTTCGAAAAGTTGATACTAAACTACCTTTTTGTGTCATCTCTTCTCTGAGGACAAATAAATCTATTGTTGGAGTTTTAGATTTTCGATTTGTTGCTTTGCATACATACACCATACACCACTTTTTTTATTCTTTCTGATTGTTTTAGACTATACATACAGAGTGTATGAATTCATTCATTTTTCACAGAATATATACATCTTGTGCATTTTATTTCCTTACACTACTTAAATAGATTAAAAAAAATGTATGAGCTCTAAAAATAAAAAATAAATTTAAAAACTTCCAGATAGAAAACTTGTTTGTTGTTGAGTAGAATTCGGCTTCAGATTCACTTTTTGTTGTCAGTCTGTAACATTTCATAATGGAAGTGATGGCTGCTTGTCTGTAACAAGACATAATAACTGTTTTCAGGCAATTTCCTGTTTTTATCTCAAGTTAGCCATCAGCTCTGACCCTTCACCAGTAGACTTGTTATGTTGGAGCCAATTCTGCTACAGAGAATAAAGCTCAAAGTAGTATTTTGGTTTTAAGGATATATATTGTACAAAGGCCAAGACGACTACAATTTAATTTTATTTAATTTATCTTATTTATTTAAGGATGGCCCTGCAAGACAGTTTCCAAGGCGTTCCAAGACAACACAATGCAGTGTAAAGCCAACCTCCACTTCAGTATGATGCAACATGTAATCAGAAAAGCTCACAGGAAACCCATAGTGACAAACAGCCCATCATTCGACTGCAGAGCTCAACATGCAGACTGAAGCTGCATGTTAGTGCACTGCTACACTGTCCACAGTTCACTGTGTATGTTGAGAATTCAGATATTTTAAAAACATATACAAACCAAATCAATGACAGAAAACCGCCCGGTCCAGTTGTGGAAAGTAACATTTGCACAAGTAACGTACAATTTTAAGGCACTTGTACTTTACCTGAGTATTTCCATGTTACTTATGCTTATGCTACTCCACTACAATTTAGAGAGGAATCAGAATGTTGCTTTTTTTTTTTTTACTGCTCTGCATTTTTGATCCTCTGTTACAAAACAAGCTACCAAAAGTATATAAAGTATGAAATAGCTCCACCACGACCAAATGACAACATTGAAGTACATTTTACATATTAATAAATCTATAACAATGATGCAATAATATAACAATGAAAGTAGCCAGTGGCATGCATTTTTTAAAACATACTCACAGGTAAAGACTGTATTATTCATAAAACTCTTTAAATTTAAAATTTATTTTTGAATTAAGATTTGAGTTTTTTTTTTTACCTCACTTCCCCAGATATCCTCTGAGGTGATACGTCAGAGACTGAACGTGTAGCCAAGGGTACACTGCTTGTCATATTGTAGTCTTTTAACAACAACACACATTCAAGATGGTGAAAGTTTTTTAAGAAGGAAGATAGACTTTTAAGAAAAACAGCCTTGGTTCATAATCCATCAGATTAGAAAGTGTTAAGTGTTCAACCAGGGCTGTAATTATATTGGTGGGACACATCCTCCCAATACTCAAAAATGCTTACCACACCAATATATAAATAAATAAAGCAATATTGCTATGCAAGCAACTACACTCTGTTGTCTGAAGTACTATAATTATAAGCAAAGTCATTATTATTACTACCTGTCCTAGTATTACCATACACTGCAGTTCTGCGGGTGGTTTGTTAAAGTGCAGTGACTGGAGAGGAGTAAGAAGAGTAGGTTATAGGATCAGAGGAGAGAGTGCTAATCCAGAAAATAAAAATATGTATAATATTGTAAAATAAAAAGTAATGTAAAATGTCATTGTTATGGTTGTTGTGTGTGTGTTGACTGCATGGCTATGGCCTTGGGTGTTATGGCAGAAAATTGTGTCCTCTTACATTTAATCTTTTATGTATGTTGTTTTACTATTATTATTACTATTATTGTTATGGCTTACAGATATATATGTATTATGTTTTTTTAATTAACCTTTCTTTCTTCTATAATCTGTCCACATTTACTAGGGTTTAGGTCAGAGCTGTGAAGTTGTTTTCCTCTCTTGTTGTTCCTCTCCTCTCTTGGATTTTTCTTTCAAGGCTGAGAGAGGATCTCTGTTCCCCAAAACATAGAAATTTAGACTGTGTAAATGATTATGCATCCCTTTGCTCTGGGCCAGACGCCCGAAGCTGTCCTAGGCAGCAGGTCTCTGGACCAGCTGTACATGTGTTTTAGTACTTCTCTGATTATTCTCTTTTTTATTAATAAATTCTTCAAAGACAACGGTTGGTTGTTACTCAATTATATGCTGAATCCCTCACCAGGAATATAATTTCCACGACATTGGGTACACCACATTTGTCAACAGAGCTGGACCATTCAAATTAAATATTTGCCCAACATTTTCTGTGATGTCAGACGGGGGGGTGTGGGGATCACCCCTGAAATGTGATTGGCCATCCCAGGTGCCACCCAATTATCCTAAAGCATGACTGGCTCTCTGCACAGTCAGAGGTGGGATCTTAGTTCAAAAGGCTTGTTTGACAAGTATTTTTGAATGTGCATTGTCTTCTTTTCATTTACGGTATATTTAGAGCCCAAACACAAAAAGGTACGAGGACCTAATTGGAACTGAAGGAATAAAATATATTAAGGGCCCAAGCACAGAATGTGTGCACACCTTGGGGTGGGGCAAAAAATTATGTATTTTATGGGTCTCGCACATGGGCTAGCGCCCCCTACAGAGCAGCCACCTGCTGGCAACCTGAAATGACGATTTACTTTGTGATGGACTTCTCCAAGCAGGTTGGCTATAACAACTTTAAAACTGTCACAGAACACCCTTAACACATTGATAACGCCACGTTGTAAAACGTATGAGTTTTCGGTCAACAGCGTGTCTGTGGCATGGTGGCAAAGTTCCACACTTCACCATGACACAGAAAGTTTGGTACATGCTCAAATCTGTGAGTTTTTGTTATATTTTTTATCTCAGAGACATCTTTTTAAACAATAATAGAGACAACTTTTTAAACAATAATAATGATTATAATAATAGTGAATGTAAAATCATTTGTGTCTGTGATACAGCTGTGAATAATTTAGTTTTATTAAATCACAACTGTACAGGTTAATTAACTTGTGCACACAGGTTACACATTGGTTAAATCTTGTTTCCCACTTCATTGAATTTACACTCCAGCTGTTTCCATATTGAATTGTAATCAACAACATCAAACAGGTTTTCTATCTTGAAGTTAAGATAGACGGCTGTTGTTTCAGATCGTTTCAGAGTCAGACTTTCCCCACTGTTAGTGGCATGAACCACAGTGTTCAAGAACTCATTCAGTCTTCAGTGTCTTTTATTTCATTACACCTCTTAAATCAAATTTGATCAGATGTACACATTAACTTCAAGATAGAAAACCTGTTTGATGTTGTTGATTACAATTCAATTTCAGGTTCACATTTTTGATTGACATCGATCTGTAACATTGATTTAATGGTAGTGAGGATTGCGTCTATGTAACAAGACACAAAAGCTGTTTTCAGGCAATTTCCTGTTTTTATCTCAAGTTAGCCACCAGCCCCAACCCATCACCGGTAGTCTGTTACAATTCAAAGTGTGATAAATAAGTCTTTCAGGAAACCCACACTGATACACAGCCCCTCATATGACTGCAGAGCCCAACATGCAAACAGACTGAAGCTGCTGATTGGGGGCCTGCTGATGTAGGTGGAATTGAGTAAACACTACAAATTGTTCACATGGTAGGAATCTTCACTGACTCATTGGAAAGAGAGGTCAGTTGTTTAGTTAGATATTGTTAAAAATATGTAACTACAGTCAAGCCAAATCCTGGTAAGAATTCAGCATCTCTGTAGCCATAGATGTATCTACATCATATCAGTGACCACAACATAACTTTATGAGATCAAATCAGGCCAGCTCTGTTCACATTATGTGTGAGTGTGATGTGTTTGGAGGCAGATGCACTGTGGTTTCATAAACAGACATTATGGTCAGTGATAATATTCAAAATATGCTATTTGTCAGAATCCACTCTACACTACATCTTCTGACATTTTTGGATGGATAATCGACAATTGTCTGTTAAATTATTTTTATTGAGATGTTTTACCCATTTACACATATTAATATACAATTTACAATAACATGCACTGAGGATTGGTACATTGGAAAACACTTAAACATGAAATGTTTTTTTTTAACAGAAAACGTTGAATATGCTACTGATAATGTAATCTCTAAACAGCTCCAGGTGAAACTCTTCTGACCTCTAGTGGTAGGAAGTAAACAAAAAAGTCCTCAGAAAGCCAATTCATACACCGATTCCAATATGTACCAATCAGTGAAGGCATGTTAAAGGGAATCTGCTGGTAAAGCACTGAATTTTGTATCTTCAAAAAAAGTTCGTCATCTTATTTACAAAAAATGTTAAATGTTTTGTAGCAGCTTATGATTTCATAATGGGCAAGATTTTAGTGTAAACTTAAATGAACATAATCCGTTTGAATTGGTTAATACATCCATCTATTTCCTGCTCTTTATCTGGGTCTATGAGGCATTAATTAATTTAATTATATTAATAGGAATTATTGTTAAATACTGCTGGGAATATCTGAAAAACTTGATGTAATAGTAAATCATTAATGTCACTGTTGGTTTTCCATCACACTTTCATACTTTGTCGGTATGATCATGAAACAGACTGAAGTTGCATTATGTGTGGTATTAAAATGGTATATGGTAATGGTATACTGTTATTCAACCAGCAAGTTGTTTCTTGATTAGAAATGACACAGGCGTCTCCCAGAAGATAATAAGACGATGTACAAGAGGCATCATTGTGGAGGCATCATACCCGTCTCAATAATCAATCAAAAAGCCTTTATTGGCTATTACAGCAATCAAACGCTTGCTATAATTGCTGACCAGCTTTCTGCCTGTCTCCAGTGGTATTTTTGCCCATTCATCTTTAGCGATGAGCTCCAACTCCATCACCCTGATCTTTAGCTCCCTCCACAGATGCTCAATGGGATTTAAGTCAGGACTCTGGCTGGGCCACTGAAAAACGT